TTGACAAGAACATGAAGCTTATGGTGCCTGCTGTCCTATGTATGAGTAATTAAGTCATGTCTCTGTCCAGGAGTCTTGTGTTTTTCATCAGCAAATATGAAAGTAAAACAAACTAATTTATTAGCTTACAAGTAGTATAATTCTCAGACTCTTCAGAGTTCTTGACAAAGCAGAAGTAGACACAAAACCTACAATTTTATTGAAGCCATGATAACCAAACAAATTTTGAAGATACAAGATTTATAATTAAATTACAATGAAATGTATTGTCTTTGTCAATCATTTTGATTTATGTACTTTGCATCAAAATGCAAATTAATCATGTGTGTTACTTTTATAATTTAGCATACTAGAAAGTTCTAGATACTGTAATACTCACATATAGGTTCAAGTTCATTATTAGATTCTTCATTTATGAACCTAAAACCTTCATAAAAAATGAACCTTGATATATTGTTTGACACTGAAATGTTACTTTCAAAATATTTAAGTATTTCAGGTAATATTTTTATTATATGACTTTTATATGTACATATCCATTTTTATTAGAACACAGTATAGCATAATATTACCAAAACCAAACCAAACCCCATGCCATTGAGTTGATTCTGACTCATGGCAACCATCATCCTGTAGATCTTTACAGAGGCAAGCAGAGAGTCTCATCTTTCTCCAGAGGTTAGAACTGCTGCCCTTGTGGTTACCAATCCAATTCTTAATACTGCAGCACCATCAGCGTTCCTTATAATATACCCATTGCCATGGAGTAGATTCCAACTCCTAGTGACCTAACATAGGGTTTCTGAGGGTGTAAATCTTTATCACAGCAGAAAGCCTTATCTCGAAGTTACTGGTAGGTTTGAACTGCTGACCCTGCTGCTACCAGACCAGTGTTTATCATATAACACCACCAATGTTACAGTATAATAAGATCATTAAAGTTTATATATAAGCATGAAAGTTCATCTTGATAAAAGCATATTCAAAACATAATATGAAATTACAGAAAAGTATTGTTAACAGTAAAACTTTACTTGCATGAGATATCAAAGCTATTGTCTGCTGATTTCTGCATTCCATTGGGTCACCTCTCTTTGGAATGGGCACAAATATGGATCTTTTCCAATCAGTTGGCCAGACAGTTGTCTTCCAAATTTTTTGGCAGAGACAAGTGAGTTCCTCCAGTGCCACCTCACTTTCTTGAAATATTTCAATTTTTATTATATCAGTTTCTGGTGCTTTGGTCTTTGCCAATTCCTTCAATGTACCTAGGACTTTTTCTTTCATTATCATTGACTCTTGACCATATGGAATGGTTGAACATCAAGCAGTTCCTTATGGTACAGTGACTCTGTGTATTTCTTCCATCTTATTTTTGATGCTTTCAGCATCATTCAACAATTTTCCCAAAGACTCCTTCAGTAACAAAAGTTGAAGCTTGAATTTTTTCTTCAGTTCCCCCACTTGAGAAATGCTGAGCTTGTTGGTCCCTTTTGGTTTTCTGACTCCAGATCTTTGCACATTTCATTGTAATATTTGACTTTGTCTTCTCGAGCTGATCTTTGAAATTTTCTGTTCAGCTCTTGAACCTCTTCATTTCTTCCATTTGCTTTAGCATTTCTATGGTGGGGAGTTAGTTTCAGTGGCTCTTCTGACATCCATTTTGACCTTGTCCTTTTTCCTTGTCTTCTTAATTACTTTTTGCTTTCTTCATGTATGATGTTCTTGATGTCATCCCACAACACTTCTGGTCTTCAGTATTTAGTGTTTAATGTATCATATCTGTTCTTCAGATGATATCTAAATTCAGTTGGAATATATTCAAGTTCATATTTTGGCTCTCATGGACTTGTTTCCATTTTTTTCAGCTTCAGTTTGAATTTACATATGAACAATTGATGGTCTGTTGCACAGTCTGGCCCTGACCTTGTTTTGACTGATGATATGGAGCTTTTCCATAGTCTGTTTCCAAAGATGTTGTCAATTTGATTTCTGTGTATTCTGTCTGGTGAGGTCCATGTGTACAATCTCTCTTATACTGTCTAAAGAAGGTATTGAAATGAACAAATCATCTCCATCATCATTTCTATCACCAAGGCCATATTTTCCAACTACTGATCCCTCCTCTTTGTTCCCAACCTTTGCATTCCAATCACCAGTGAGGACCAATTCATCTTGATTGAATGTTTGAACAATTTCAGATTGAAACAGTTGGTGGAATTCTTCTATTTCATCCTCACTGGCTTTAGAGGTTGGTATGAAATTTGAATAATAGTGGTATTAACTGGTTTTCCCTGTAGGCTGATGGATATTATCCTATCACAGACAGTGCTGTAACTCATGACTGATCTGGATATGTTCTTTTTGACAATGAATGCAACACCATTCCTCTTCAATTTGTCATTCTTGGCATAGAAATCCACGTCATTGTTAGATTCAAAATGGCCAATACCAGTCCATTTAAGCTCATGAATGGCTAAGATATCAATGTTTATGCATTCTATTTCATTTTTGACAATTTCCAATTTTCCTAGATTCATATATTGTACAGTTCATGTTCCAATTATTAATGGATGTTTGCAGCTCTTTCTCTTTGTTTTGAGTTGGGCCCCAACAATAAATGAAGATCCTGTTGGCTTTATTCCCACCGGCTTTACTCTATTTGCATCACCACGGTCAACTCTAATGGACTCATTTTCTGCCACTATATCTGACAGTGTTTCTCTGCTATTCATAAGGTTTTCAGTGCCTAAATTTTTGGAAGTAGTTTGTCACTCCTTCTTCCTGGAAGTGTTTGTCTAGAAGTTGGAATCCCAGACCACTTAATTGTGCTCATGAGAAAACTGTATATAGACTAAGAGGCAATTGTTAGCACAAGCGCTGTCCTGTGAGAACACTAGAAAGATATCATTTTATTGAAGTGAAAAAATATTCTGTTGTGTATATCATAATAAATTATGGAAAACATTCACAAGAATGGAAATTCTGGAATTCTTAATTGTGCTTAGGTCAAAACTATATATAGGCCCACAGGCAGTCATTTGAACAAGGCAAGAGGACACTTGGTAGGTTTCAAATTGTGTCAGGATTATTTCCTTTCACTATGCTTATTTATTCTGTATGCTGAGCAAATAATCTCAAAAATTGGACCATAGGAAGAAGAATGAAGCATCAGAATTAGAGGAAGACTCATTAACAACCTGCAAAATGCAAGATGATCCAACCTTGTTTGGTGAAAGCTATGATGACTTGAAGCATTTATTCATAAAGATCAAAGGTTACAGATTCCACCTCAACATAAAGAAAAAAAGAATCCTCATAATTAGACCAATAAGCAACATCATCATACTCGTTGTCCTTGAGCTCAATTCATATTAACCCTATAGGACAGAGTAGTCAAGGCTTTGACCTTTCAGAAGAAGATTGCTAGACCTTTCTTCTAAGGTACCTCTGAATGTGTTCCAACCAACAACCTTTTGGTTATTGGATGAGTGTTTAATTATTTCTGCCACCCAGGATCTTAATATTATGATAAAGGGAGAAAATATTGAAGTTGTCAGAGTTTATCGTATTTGCCTGCACAATCAATACCCATGGAAGCAGCAGTCAAGAATCAAATGACATATTCCATTGGGCAAATCTAATACAGAATGCCTCTTTAAAGTGTTAAAAAAAACACACAAATATGTCATTTTGAGACCTAAGGTATCTCTGACCCAAACCATGGCATTTTAAAATGTATCATATGCATATGATAGCTAGACAATGAGTAAGGAAAACTGAAGAAAAATGGATGCCTTTGAATTATGGTGATAGTGAAGAATATTGGCTATACCATGAACTGCTAAAGAGCAAACAACTCTCCCTTGGACTAAGTTTAGCTAGGATACTTCTTAGAAGTAAGAATGGTGAGAATTCATCTCATATACTTTAGACACGTTATTAGGAGGGATCAGGGCATGATACTTGGTAAAATAGAGGGTTAGAGAAAAAGAGGAAGACCTTCTGAATTGGCAGAATGACTGTAATGATGGCTTCAAACATAGCACTGAGTATGAGGATAGTGTAAAATCATTCTGCTGTACCTGGGATTTCTATGTTGGAGTTTGAATTGACTCAAAGCTATGTAAGAACAGTAGCAACAACAATAAGGAATCCATGCAGCAGAAGAGACTATATGAGTATTCCAAATATAATTAAAAAAAATATATCACATAAGTGTTAATAAACATAAAACTATTAGAATAAGTTTTCTTTGGAAGAATTTTTTTAAAAAATATTCACAATATGTGATTAATTTGAAATACAAAAAGACCTATCCTTCTTGAAGAAGGTGCAAGTCCAGCAAGGCCTTATAGACCAAGCGATCAATTGTTAATTATGTATTTTCAATATTCCACTGATGAGGACTCTGTAAACTCACCTGACTCACATTCATTAGATTTTTGAATGACCCTACCATCTAGATGTATCTTCATTGGAGTGAATATTCCATATTAAGTTCTTTCCAGAGTGTCTGCTGATATATAATGGATGCTTTACTAAACCTACAAGAATTGATCATATAATTACTTTTAGTTTTATCCTTCTTATTGTTTAACATGATTTAAGACTTGTTTTCATTGTATCATTACACCTGACTATAAGGTTATGGAGGAGAAAGACCATAGCCTTCAACCTAATCAAGTCTACCTACGTTTATCTAAAGAAGTTAATATCTGTTGTATGACTAAACTTGTTTGCATCAATTTATAATATCAGCAATATTCTGGCAAATGATTAACAGCTTGGGAGGGGAAAGTGAAGCCTCAACTAATTTCCTTTGACAATTCTGTGCTGTGAGCTTTGCTCCATCCACATCATTAAAGTCAACTGTACTTTAAGGAGACAGCGCTCCTCAAGTGATATTTTGAAAGTGTCTTCCAACTGAGGAACTCATCTTCCAGCAAGCTCCATTGCTATTCCTGTTTTTCATTGGCTAACCTTTCAGAGTGAATGGATGGTTCCACTGGGGCTCGAACCCAGGACCTTCTGAATGTAAAGCAGATGTGATAACCGCTACACTATGGATCAACTATCAACACTCATGGAAGCAGCAGTCAAAAAATCAAATGATGTATTGCATTAGGCAAATCTGCTGCACAAGACCTTTTCAAGTGTTAAAGAGCAAAGATGTCAGCTTGAAGACTAAGGTGCGCCTGACCCAAGCCATGGTATTTTCAATAACCTTATATGTATGCAAAAGCTGGACAGTGAATAAGGAAGAACGTAGAAGAATCAATGCTTTTGACTTATGGTATTGGAGGGGAATATTGAAAGTGCCATGGGATGCCAAAAGAACCAACAGATCTGTTTTGGAAGAAGTGCAGCCAGAAGTGCTCCTTGGAGGCCAGGATGGACAAACTTTTTCTCTCATACTTCAGACATAGTGTCAGGAGGGACCAGTTTATGGAGAAAGATATCATGTTTGGTAAGGTCAGAGAAAAAGAGGAAGCCCCTGCCTAGCGAGATGGATTGGTCAAGTGGCAGCATCAATGGGCTCAAGCATTGCAACGATGGTGAGGTTGGCCTAGGATTGGGTAGTGTTTTGTTCTGCTGTGCATGGGGTCACTATGAGTCAGTGCCAACTTGATGGCATCTAACAACAACAACAACAACCTTTCATAACTTTCTGTCTTTCTTCCTAATCTGTTTTAGTCTGGCTGTTATGCTGAAATCTGTCCACATTGGGGGGCCCTGATAGCCTTTAAAATACCAGTGGCATAGTTTGCAGTATCACAGCAGTACATAAGTCACCACATTATATAAAAAACGACTGATGGAAGAGCGGTAGTAGTTGTTCCCACTATGGCCTATTGCAACTAGTAAAATGACTCCACTGATAAGGGAGTTGGAAAGATAAACTCTCAAGAGCCAGTGCAAGCCTGCTTGAATGCCCAATTTTTAAGGCTTTAATTTTTCTTTGTCTCTCATGCTTCAGACATATTGTCAGGAGGGACAGGTTGCTGGAGAAGGATATCATATTTGGTAAGGTGGAGGGTCAGAGAAAAAACGGAAGACCCCCAATGAGATGGATTGGCCAAGTGGCAGCATCGATGGACTCAAGCGTGGCAACAGTATTGAGGTTGGCCCAGGATTGGGCAGTGTTTCATTCTGCTGTGCATAAGGTCTCTATGGGTCGGTACTGACCCGATGGCACCTTACAACAATAACAAAAATTTTTCTTATAAGCCAATTATAAAGAATGGAAATACTCGTTTTTGGAGAAAACTTAATCATGCTTCTTTGAAAGTCACTGTAATATTGACTAAGTTCTAAGGACATAGTTAAAGTCACAATGTTATACCACCATTTGATTATAACTCAAACAGAAAAAGCACACATACAAAATTCTAGCTATTTAAGCTTTCATCATGATTCTTAAAAATGACTGGTTTATTAATTTTTATTTCCTATTTTGTTTATACATGTTGAAAATAGAAGAAAAAAAAATCCTAAGTACTTATCTACTTATAACATGGAGAGAAAAAAAAAATATCAAATTGGTACATTGTGCCAGACAGACACTAGCTAATACGACAAGTAGAAGTGTTTCTTGACTTGAGGCAGGAACTTTTAGTAGAAAAGTAGACTCTGAATGTGTTTAAACACTGTAGGTTACTTTGCTGAAATGCATTAACCTTCCTTTGTTACTTTGGAATCTCTGTGTGTCTGCTGCAGGGAGCAGTACAAAGTGGTTGATAGCTACAGTCTAAGATATAGACTGACACATTCTGCAGCAGCAGTCATGAGTGAGTTATTTCAATCTGTGCTAGTGTGGCTGGAAAATTTACCTTCACACGGCTGGAATTCCATTTCAGTCTGTCATGATACACTACGCTGCGCCTGCTTCTATGAGCCAGAGCATCAGGGCAACGTGATCACTGAGATTTCTAACCTTTCAAACATAGTCACTTAAGCCAAATATCAAAAGGAAACTTAAAAATAAAAATCTTCTCTGGTGATGGAAATACAAAAATTAATTGAAAGTTACAGAAGTAAACACATTAAATAGCATTATTAATTTTCTTTTTCTTTTAAATAACAATCTTATATTTTTAAGCTCTTTTAAATGCTTTAAGAGTTTAAAGATATTTGAGATTTTCTCTTCTTTATATTTTGTAACTTTTTTTAAAAAAAAGTTTTTATTGTGAATTATGTGTTCGTTTACATGAGTGAACATTATCTTTACATTCATCCTATCGTATTTTGTTTCATTGCAATGATCACAATCATCAAATAACCGAAGGGTATACCCACCATGCCTCCCCTACGGCCACCAGCACACAACCTCTCTCTCTCCCTGAGTCCAGAGTCCCCAGCCTCTCCTCTGTCCATGTCATCCTCATCGTGTCTTCCTCCATCCCTAGTGTCACTGCCTCTCCAGACAGGGTCTCACACTTCCCTTTTCTCCCTTGATGGTTCCAGGGATCTCAGTTCCTGGGCTGCAAAATCAGCTACACCCCTCCTTTTGTTACCAAATGGTTATATTTACCTTTCCAACACTCACTGTCAGACCTGATGGCAATCATTCCCTATTGAACCACAGGAGTCCTTTCCCCCTCACCTTTTATCAACCCCATCCAGACAGGTTGGAAACAATTCAGTGGAGATTCTACCTTTCTCTGTATCCTGTGGAGCTAGGTTCCCTATTGAAAACGTGTAAGCCAGTTATTTCTTGCCTTTGTATTCCTCCCATTTTGGGTAGCCAATGTTTAAGTTCCCCATCCCTGTCGACCCTGTGTACCAAGAGCATGCGAATGATCCTCAATGTAGAGATTTGTCCGCTCCTTTGTCGTACTGCATCCACAAACACAGGTAAAGTTCAGCCACTTGTAGTGGATTAGTCTTTTTGTTTGTTTGTTTTTGTTCCTCTTTCTTCTTCTAGTCATGTTCTGATCATCCAGCCATTGATGCCAGGTCAAATGGGTACTATCAGCAAGTGTCGATGTTCTTCTGCATCTCCCCTCACTTCATATCAGCTGGATGCTTCATAATCCATTCTAGTCCTCTGGGGCTATGTCCCTGTCCCTGGGACCAGGGGTCCCCAAGTCTCTTTATACTGAATGTGGTCAGACTGATTTCATAACTTCATTGTTGTTTTTCCCCCACTTTCCCTTATAGGTGACCAACAGTGTCAGCAGCAGGACCACATGCCTGCTAGTATATTCCAATTGAGTTTCAATCTTGGAAGGGGGTTTGCCTTGAGGGGACCTGACCACTTGCCTTGATGGCTCCCTGGGGAACAACTTGCTTGTTCTTGTAGTAGTCAATTGGACTACTATTACTGTTTTTGTTTTTGTTTTTTTTCCTGCTAGTCTTTCTTTAAAGAAGTATCTTCTGTTTTGCTAACTGCTCCAGACTGGTCTGCTTGTCCTTTCAAGTGGAAATGTCCCATCTCAGAAGATTCTGGATAAGGATCAGATTCCACTTATGTTCTTATGCAATGCAAAGGCTCTGCAGGTAGCCTCCTTCACTGGGAAAGTTCTAGCCCCATTTTAGGTATTCCAATTGGATGTAGGCTGAAGATGGACTTACAAGCTTTCTCTGGTGATGTTTCTGGCTATTCCTCTCTCTCTCTTTTAAGTATCTATTTCACAATAGTAGGCAAGAAAAACATAGATTCAAAAGACAGCCCCACTTTTACCCATTCACACCATGCCTCAATCTTTGTATCCATGAGCCCTGTTGTTCCACGGTTGTGCTTACATCCTTATTTACCTCTGTCCTATTTAGCCCATGTAAACCTTCCTAGCTATTCTTCCATCTGCCTTGTTTTTCCTTTCCTTTTCCCTTCTAGTGTGTGCTCCCCAGCACCCAAAGTATCCTGTGTCTATTCCCTACCCTGTACTCCACTATCCCTTCCCTCCCCCTCACCTCACCCCATACACCCTGGTAACCAATAACAAAAATAAATAAATAAATAAAAGATATAAAAAAATTTAATGAAGCTAAAAATAAATAAATATATTTAAATAAATAAATAAATAAATTTAATTTTTTCTTCCCCCTTTTAGTGTGGGTGCTTTTGCTTAATCTTTTACAATAGTGGTCCTATGCCTTTTATGACTGACTGATTTCACTCAGCATAATGTCCTCAAGGTTCATCCATGTTATGTGGTGGCTTGCTGCTTCCTTGTTATTCTTCAGGGTAGCATAATATTCCATTGTGTTTATGTACCAAAGTTTGTTTATCCATTATTCCGTTGATGGGCACTTAGGCTGTCTCCATCTTTTTGCTATTGTAAATAGTGCTGCTATGAACATTGGTGTGTAAATATCTACTTGTGTTATGGCTCAAATTTCTTGTGGATAAATACCAAGTAGAGGAATTTGCTGGATCATGAGGTATTTCTATTTCCAACCTTCTTGAAAGTGCCATATTGTTTTCTAGAGTGGTTGGACCATTTTGCAATCCCACCAGCAATGTAGGAGGGTCCCAGTCTCTCCACACCCTCGCCAACATTTATTGTCCTCTACTTTTTGGATGCTTGCTATTATTGCTGGTGTGAGATGATATCTCATTTTGTTGTTTTTTTGCATCTTCCTAATGGAGTCCTGCTGTGGCACTGTGGGTTAATGTGCTAGACTGCAAAGCCATTTGAACTGCAAGGTCAGTGGTTCAAGCTTATCAGCTGCTCCTCGGAAACCATATACAGGGTTGCTTTGGGTTGGAACCAACTCCATGGCACTTAACAACAATAGCTAGTGATCATGAACATTTCTTCATATGTTTGTTGGCTGCCAGGATTTCCTCCTTGGTGAAGTGTCTATGCATGACCTGTGCCCATTTTTTAATTGGGTTATTTGTCCTTTTCTTGTAGAGGTGTTGTAGGTTCCTATATATTTTGGAAATCAGTCCCTTGTCTGATGTGTCGCTGCAAAAGATTTTTTCCCATTCTGTGGGCTCCCTTTTTACTCTTTTGATGAAATCTTTTGATGCACATAAGTTTTTAATTTTTAGTGTATCCAAATCATCTGTTTTGTCTGCTTTTGTTTGTGTAATTTTTCAAAATGTTTGGTAGTCTGTGTGT